CAACAACAGAAATGAATGTATGGCTTCCAGCGTGATTACCGGCACCATCAGAGGCCACGCACCCACCTGGGTGCATTAGGGACCCCAATCCTTCCACGGGAACAGTAGGGGGGGTCAAGGGGGTAGGAGAACTGTCCTGAGCTGCCGGGGGTTGACCAGCAGGGACTGTGTGGGGCTCACTTGGCTCTCCTCAAGCCCTCGACATACCCCTGAGGGTATCTCCCACCGCAAGAGCTAGGTCCCCCCACCCCAGTCTCAGAAGAGTCCAGAATGATTGAACCTCAGGGTGCAAATGCAGAACAAAAAAGGCCAGAGGGTGAGCAGGGAGAGTGGAGGCAATCGTAATACAAACACCATGACGGCCGCTCTCCGGAGGGGGACACTCAGCACCTGACCACCTTGTGGCCCTGACTCCCCAGCAAGGAACTTCACCTCCGTGAGGCTCTGTCCTCCCGTCTGTGAAATTGGGGTCATCCTGGTATCACCTCTTAGAGTTGCTTTGAAGGTTAAATTAGACAAGGAAAATGCACTGCCTCAGTGTAGTGCCTGGCACCGTAAGTTCACCATCAGTGGCTGTTGTCATTATTGCCCCAATTGCCAGATGGGAAGACTGATGCCCAGGCAAGGTAAGAGTCTTGCCTCAGGTTGTTCAGCGGGTTGGTGGCCGGATCTATGCCAAAGAGGGTGGACCTGCCTTGGGACATAGCACCACTCAGAGGCTCAGGGCCCCAAGGCAGCAACCCTGGGCCACCTCCCTCTGGCTCCGGTAGCTGCCACGTATTCTGAGCGCTCCTCCGTGCCAGGCGCATGCTCAGAGCTTTTATGCATCCCTTCGCGGAACCACCACCGTCTGGGAGGTGCGCGTCGCACTGTCCTCACTGTTCAGATGCGCAAGCTTGGGGGGCCGAGCGGAGTCACCACCAGGACCGCCTGGTTCTCAGTACGCGCTACTGCCCTCTGGACAGAGGTGGGGGCTTGTGTTTATCCCAACAACTCTTCCCAGCTCCCTCCTCCCCAAGATGAGCCGTAAATAAGATGTCAAGTGCGCCATGGTGGACCCGCAGTCTCCCAGACATCAGACAAGCTTCCCCTTGAGAGCTGGGCACCCCTGCCCACGTCACAGGGGAGGGAGCTGGAAGGAGGAGGAACACCCCAGCCCCTCCCTCTCTCCTTGGCCCTGCGGAGGCTGAGTGGCCAGGGCCCTTCAGGCTGCACAAGGCCCCGCTGGCGGCCGAGCTGGTGGGAGGCTGGGGGCTAGTCTTGAAGCAGCACTCCCCCTCCCTCGCACACATGCTCCCTACACTCCCATCTGGCCAGCCTGGCTGAAAGCTAAGTCTGCCTACAAAACACAAAAGCATCTCGTTTCCATTCGAGAAAACCCCCGAGACTGGGCTGCTCTGCCTGCCTCCCTCTTGGCCGCTGTGGTTAGGGCAGAGCCGGGAGATGGCAGCTGTCCTGCCCAGGGAACCAGGACCTGGAGCCGCCGGCCGGGGTCCTCTCTGGGGCCCACAGGCCAGGGAGCAGCCTGGTGAGCCTGGTATCCATGGACGCCCCCTGCCTGGCCCCTGCTGGCCGGGAGCAGCGCCAGATGGGGAGGCTCTGGCTCTCGGCCTCCGCCCAGCCCACAGGCCCCCTGACCTGTCCTCCTGGGACTTCCCGGTGTCCATCTGAGGTGACCCGTCCTCCTTCCCCACAGACGCCCAGACCTCTGACCCTTATTTAAAACAAACCAAGCGAAGTCGGGAAAGAAACCGTCACAAAGAGCTTCAGGGATGATCGTGTCCCTGAGACAGACAGACACACACACACACACACACACACACACACACACACGCCCCAGACGTGCAAGGCTGCAGCCGGGCTTGCACACAAACAAGCTGCTGGAGGGTGACTTTTGTGTATGAAACATGCAGGCTCCCTCCACGTGGGGGGTGGGGGGGGGGAACGGGACTGTTTCTCAGTTTTCTGATGAACAGGAAGTGGAGAGGGAGCTGGGGGGTTGGCAGACTTCATCCCCCTGTGCTCTGTGCAGGTTCGAATCTGGGGAAGGGGGTCTGCGGGGAGCCTGGGCATCACGTGGGAGAAGGACCCCCCCGACCCGGGAGGTCAGCGCCAGAGCGGGTTAGCCCCCCCAGGCCGGGTCTCGGGAGGCGGGGTCCGCCGCCCGCCCGCCCGCGTGCCCTCGGGTCCTGGACGCGGCCCAGCGCCGGGCGCTCAGGAAACACCGGGACCCGAGGCTGCCGCGTCCCTGCCCCTCGGCTCCCGCCTCCGCGCCGGGAAACCGGCGAATCCGCCCGGGACCAGGCGGGGCTGCTTCCCAAAGGCCAACAACCCCCCGTTTTGCTGCTGCTTTTCTTTTCTTTTTTTTTTTTTTTCACTCCAGCGGGCGGTCGGGCAGGTTTGGGGACCGGGCGGCGCCGGGTACCCCCACGCCGCCCACGCGGGGCAGGGCCGGGGCGCATGCGCGGGCCGGGACGCCGGGGGCCGGGGCCGCCCGCGCAGCCTCGCTCGGGCCGGTCTCCGTGGCAACGGGCTCGCGGCGGGGAGGGCCCGGGAGGCGCGGGCCGCGGCGGCTGCTATTTCTGCCGCTTCCTGTTCCTCGCGGCCACGTCGCCATGGCAACCGTGTTACTCAGCGCGGCGGCTTCCCGGCTGGGCTGGCGCGCGTGACCCCGGCCGCCCGCGCCCCCGCGTCTCTCGCTCGCCGCGCCCCCCGCCCCCCGGGCCCTCCTCCCGGGCCCCCCGGCCCCGCCCCGCGCGCCCCGGCCCGCCCGGCCCTGCCCCTCCCCGTGGGCCGGTGCCCGCAGCCGGGAGGGAGGAGGAGGGAGATTGATGGGGGACGCTTATTAAAAAACATTGTAACCGTTTCCGTTTTTATTACGTTGACAGGGAGCGTTATTTACTGTTATTGTTTGCCGAGCGGCCCGCCGAGCGCCGGTGGCCGGGGGTGAGGGGTGTCACCTTCGCGCGGGGCCCGGGAGGTCGCGGCTGGGAGGGGAGGCGGGCGCCGCAGGGACGGGCGGGCGCGGCCAGGGGTCGACCCAGCCCCGCGCGGGGGTCCCGCTGCTCGCCCGGCAGACCCCGTCGCGGAGGCCGCGGAGGCCGGAGGCGCGGGTGGAGGGAGGAAGGCTGCAAAATGGAGAGGAACAGATGACCTCGCTCTCAGGAAGGCGCTGTCCTGCGCGGACCCGTTTCGGGGGGGCTGGGGCGGAGCAGCCCCGCAGCCTTTGGAGGCACTTAAACCGACACCAGATAAAGACCAGAACCTTCTGGGCCCGGCCTGACCGCGCAAGGGCAGGCCGGCCGCGCGGGAGCCCAGGGTGTGCAGGGAAGGGGTCAAATTCCTCCCCCGCTGAGGCCTGGCTGCCAGCAAACCTGCCCACTTAGACTCCGGTACCGAGGGTGGGCCACTGCCCGAGCCTCACAGCCGGTGCTGTCCCGCTCCAACGCCTGCGGGAGGAACCGGCGGCCCAGCGGCTGCACGAGGAGCCTGGGAAGAGGGGAGGCTCAGCTGGAGGGCGGTGCAGGGGAGAGTAACTGGGCAGGTCTGAGCCCCGCTGGCCTGGGTCCTGCCTCCTCCGCCGCGGCCCTCAGCGGGGGTGGGGTGGGAGGTGTGTCCAGGGGATCAGATGGACCTGAGGATGCCCCAGCCAAGCCGCTGCTGGGGTGCCCCTCTCACCCGGCTAATTCAGCTCCCCGCTCTCAGGACATTATTAGCTGAACTGCAAACAATGCTGCTTGGGGCGTAGAAGCCAGAGGGGAAAGAGAGCTCCCACTATGAAAAGGATTTTAAGGAAATGTTTACACTTATCAACAAACACTCCTAATGGACAGACCAGGCTTTGGAAACAGAGCTCCCCCCTTCGCCTGTTTTGTGTTTCCTCCCTTCCAAAGGGGCTTGGTCACCAGGGCCTCTCCCAGTCTCAGATGGTCAACAGGGACTTCCCAGCCCAGAATCGTCTCTCCAGACTTTCTGGAGTCGAGCAGACAGGCGCGTTTCTAGCCCAGGCCTTTGGGTCTGGGGTCACAGCAAGATAAAGCTATCTTCCACTCTGTTCCCGGCACCTGCCAGCTCCTAGCTGCGGACCCCTCCCTGCATGCATGAACCCAAAGTCGGGCTCCAGAAAAAGAGTACACCCCCCTCCTACACACACACACACACACACACACACACACACACAGTCGGCACCAGCCCTTTGCTGCCAGCTCTGGGATACGGAAAGACACAGGGAAAGGTGGAAACCCGTGGTGCCCTCCACTCCTGTTACCAGCACTTACCCCAGGGGCTGGCCTTCCAAGCAAAACTCATCCTGGCAGCAGGTTTAGAGAGTTTGATTGCCCAGCCGGCATGGCTCAGTGGTTGAGCATCGACCAGAAGGTCACAGTTTAATTCCAGGTCAGGGCACATGCCCGGGTTGCAGACTCGATCCCCAGTGTGGGGCGTGCAGGAGGCAGCCGATCCATGATTCTCTCCCTCTCCCTTCCTCTTTGAAATCAATAATATATATATTTTAAAGAGTTTGATTGATGTGAGAGCCGTGCCCCTCGGCAGCCTTTGAAGAGGACTGAGATGACAGAGGACACCCAGGATCAAAGAACTCCAGAGCTGGGAGGACCTTGGAGATTATCCAGACCAACCACACCCGCCTCCCCATTTTACAGGTGGGCAAACCGAGGCCCAGAGAGGGGAAGAGACCTGGCTGAGATCTGCTACTGTTTAGTGGCAGAACCCAGGCCAGGATCCAGGCACCTTGCCTCTCGCCAGGGGCTCATTGCCCACTCCGACTCTTCTATGGCATTATTGTCTGCAAGCAGACGATCAGGAACCGGGGTGGGGTGGGGCCAGAGGCATCGAAGTCAGACTGCCTGGGTTCACACCCTCACTTCTAATGAGAACGTGGACACGCGAATTCTCTCTGAGCCTCAGTTGCCTTCAGTGTTCAGTGGGTATGATAATAGCACCTGCCCTAAGTTTGTCTTAAGGAATAAAGACGATGGTGCAGGAAAAGCAACTGGACCGATGCCCGGTCCATACTGGTATTTACCTAATGCTGGCAATGATGCTGGTGCTGGTGGTGCTACGAGTGGTGCTGCTGGCGGTGCTGATGCCTGTGGTGGGTTGAATGATGCCGCCTCCCCAAAAAGAAGGATCTGTTCATGTCCTAATCACTGGAACCTGTGAACATGACCTCATCTGAGGAAAGGGTCTTTATCGATGCAAAGGACACGGACATGAGGTCACCATGATTGCCCATGTTGAGCCTCAATGCCATCATAAGCGTCCTTACAGGAGACAGAAGAGAAGGCTGTGTGCAGCCTGAGGCGGAGCTGGGAGTGATGCAGCCACAAGCCAAGGACACCTGGAGCCACCGGAAGCTAGAAAGGCGGGAAGGATTCTTCCCAGAGTCCGGAGGGAGCATGGCCTCTGGCCTCCGGACTCTGGAAGAGTAATCGAGCATAAGCCACCAGGCGTGTGGTCATGTGTTTCGCAGCCACGAGAAACTAGTACAGTGGTGAGGCTGGTTCTGCTGCTGGGATGATGGTAATGATGGTGGCGGCGGGTGGTGGTGACAATGTCATGATGAGGGTGGTGATGGTGATGCTGACTGTGTGTGAGTTTCCTGGGGCTCTGTGCTGGCTCCTGGTCACTCGGGCGGCCCTAGGCTCCAGGCGATCACTAAAGCATCCCCTTCATGCTGTCGTCGCTCTGTGGGTGTCTGTCTCCGCCTGCATTTCCCCCCTTTATACGGACATATTGGAGTAGGACCCACCCTGAGAACCGCATCTAAGTGTGATCACCTCTGCAAAGGCCCCATTTCCAAATCAGGTCACATGCTCAGCTCCCGGGGATTAGGGCTTCAACACGAGTTTTTTGGGGGACACAATTCCCCCCTAACAGTGGAGATGGAGACGATGGTGCCAGGGGTGGTGGTGCTGACAGAGACTCTGCAGGGGCCCCCTGGGGAGCAGCCATCAGCTCACAAGGCTTTCCCAAGATCAGGAGCCCCTTCCCGCCGTGAAGAGCCGGTCGGAGCCTCCAGCTGCAGGAGCAGAGACGGGGAAGATGGTCCCAGGACACCATGTGAGTGTCATGGAAGAGCCAGACCCCCTGGAAGCCCTGCCATTTGCCTGTGAGGCCTCAGCAAACCTTTTATCCTCTTGGCTTCGGGCTGGACCTGATGCCAAGGACCTGCTCTGCTCCCTGCGCTGATATAGGAGCCTGGCCAGCGTCAGGCTGGGGCAGAGTGTCAGGGAGACTGGGCAGAGGAAGGAGGGACAGTATGCTGTGACCACGCTCCTGCTGGCTCCCTGTGGGTGGCCTCCTCCTCCTCCTCCTCCTCTTCCTCCTCCTCCCCTTCCTCTTCCCTCTCCTCCTCCTCCTCCTCCCCCACCCCTCCCCAGGAGCAAACACTTGCTATTTTTGTACACGGCTAAGTCAGTGCTTGTCTCCTGGCCGTCCGTCCCAGCTGCCAGAGCCTCCCTGAGGGCAGGGACCATGGCTTGCTCATCTGCGAGGCCCCTGGGAGCCTGGCCCAGCCCCCCACACGTGTGGATTGAGCGTGGACTGTTTCAAAGCCCAGCAAGTCCCTCCCTTCTCTTTCCATCTGGGCACCATGGAGATAAGACAAGGCGGGGTGGCCACCTGCTTCTGAATGGGATCTTTCTCCCCCAGACCCAGGCCTCGCAAGGAAGCCGTGCGGCACACGGGGCAGAACAGCAGGCAGCCTGGCCGCGCCTCTCCTGGAGCCGCAGCGCAGCCCACCGGCCCTGACCCCGGAAGCCCGCTGGTCGCCGGCAGCAGCAGGCGGGGTGAGGCCGCTGCCGGATTTCTTCCCGTTCGACGCGATTCCAGGAACTCCCTCCCTAACCTGTCTTTCTCCAGCTCTCACAGGCCGAGACTGGAATAATAGTAGCGCCCATTCTCTGCCAGGCACTGCCCTAGGTGCCAGGAGACAGTGGCCAGCAAGACCAGGTTCTCGCATTTGTGCAGCTCACATGGGAGGGAAGAGAGAGACAAAGAACAAAGGAACAGCTGATACCAGGATCCAGGGAGCAGGGTGCATTTTAGAGGAAGTGAAGGCGGGCGAGGGGCTGCACCGCAGAACAAAAGGGCCGGGGTTTGGAAAGGGAGTCCCCGTGGTGATGGGGTGACCATGGAGCGAGCCCTGTGGAGAGCTGGGAGGGAGACTGAGGGCAGCAGAAGCAGCCAGTGCAAAGGCCCTGAGGTGCCCTGGGGGGCAGGGAGGGGAGTGCATGCAGGTGCGGGGGAAGTACGGGGCTTTTCCTAGGGATGCATGATGTCACAAAAGTGGGGAGGCAAGAGCCAACCAAGGGCCAGTGTGTGTGTGCAGAGGACCCCTGGTTTCTGAGTGGAGCACTCAGAGGCCAGAGGGAAACAGGAGAAGTTAGAGGAGTTGATGGAGTCCAGGCAGGAGACGGTGGCGGCCTCACGGGGACACCAGCAGTGGGGGAGGCGAAGTGGCTGGATTCAGGGTGTATTTTAAGAAGAGGCACCAGGATTTGCCAAAGGATGGGATGCGGGTGTGGAAGAAGGAAACTGCCAGGGATGATTGCAGTGTCATGAGTGGGAGGCACCGTTTCCTGAGGTGAAGGAGACCTCAGGAGAAGTGGGGGGCGGGGGGGGAGGGGCTCGAGCTGGCATTTGGACGCGTGATGTCCGCACAGCCGTTTGGATGTGGATACATATCATGCACTTGGAGCGCTCAGCAGCTGCCCTTTAACCCACCCGGTGGTGGCTATACCCCTGTGTCAAGATAACCACCCTCGGAGGTAGGCCCTACTATGACCCCATTCTACAGATGAGGAAACTGAGGCACAGAGCGTGGGAGCTGGTGCAGATACAAATCCAGGTAGTCTAATTCCAAAGCTCATCCTGTTTGTTCAAGAGTCTGTTCGTCCGTTCATTCATTCACTCACTCACGGTCACGGGCCTCGCTCTGAGCCTGGTGATGTGGAGTCTAGCACGCTGTGCACAGCACAGGCACTGGGCAGGCAGCGAGCAAGCCAGCCAGGCCCGCCCTGCGTGCCGCTCACTTTCCAGGGAGGAGACAGGCAGGGGATGAGCAGAGAGAAACACAAGGGCCACACGGTCAGGACTGTGCTACCTGCGCGGTGAAGGGCGGCGAGCTGACGCCAGGCAAGGAGAGGGGCGCACACTGCAAGGGCTGGGGCTGCCTGGAGGAGGGGAGACTCCTCAGAAGCAGCCAAGCCCGGGGCCCGAGGAATGGCACCCCAGCAAAGGGGACAGGAAAGCAGGGGCTCTTCGTAGGCCATGGGGAAGGGCGAGGGCACCAGGGCACAGCCAGGGGCCGATCGCCCACAGAAAACAGCCACAAAGAGGAGGCGAGAGGGGCAGAGGCACGTGAAGGGGAAGTCACCCAGGCAGGGGGAGGGCCCTCACCTCACAGGAGAGCCCCAGCGGCCCTGGGGCTCCGAGGACGTGACCCCCAAAGCTGAAAGTGGGAGTGCAGGAGAGGGTGGGCCAGGCCCAGGCAGGGTACGAACCTCCCTCCCGCCTCCCCCTTCCTCTACAGCAGTGGTTCTCAACCTCCTGGCCCTTTAAATACAGCTCCTCATGCTGGGACCCAACCATAACATTATTTTCGTTGCTACTTCATAACTGTCATGTTGCTGCTGTTATGAATCGTCATGTAAATATCTGATCTGCAGGATGGTCTCAGGCGACCCCTGTGAAAGGGTCGTTCGACCGCCAAAGGGGTCGCGACCCACAGGTTGAGAACCGCTGCCCTACAGCAAGTCAGCACTGAATCCAGCTGACTCCACAGCCAGGCCTAAAGCACGGGGCAGTCCCAGCCCCGGCTGAGCTGCCTTTGACCTTCGAGGAGACCGAGGAGACGACACAGCAGCATCCGCCCTCTTGGGCTGATCATCTGGAAAGAGCCCCCCTGAGCCCCAGCTGCCCGAGGCATTCACCCGCACCTTTCGGCAGCTGTCAGTCACTCCTGGGCGCACCCTTTGGCAGCAGGGAGCAGGACCAAGGCCCTCCCCCCGGGGCTGAGGCCACAGGCAGACGCAGAGTCAGGCAGAGGGAGGTCGGGTGCGATGGGGAGGAAGGCGGGTTCACAGTCATAACCGGAGGGCAGCGCCAACTTTGGGGACCAAGCCCTGTTGGATGCCCCTTCAGTCTTGGGGTCTCCCTGCCTCTCCTGGAGACAAGAGGGCTCCCCAGGACATGGGCAGGCTCCTCGTGAAGAGGGAGCAGAGCTCCCAGGTTCCAGAACCTTTGTTCCCCTCCCCCCCCCCCCCAAGCTGGCTCTCCCTCTGAGCCCCGCCCCTCCTGTCCTGGGTCAGCTGCCAATCCGGGCACAGCCAGGCTCCAAGCAGAGCAACCTCCCCATGGCCTGGGCCTGTGTCAGAGCTGGGGAGGCGCTCACAGCACAGCCCCCAGCCCCTGCTCAGCTCCTGCAGACCCCCTCCCCCCATCTCCTCCTGGGCACACAGGGCTGAGGGGGACAGGGCCCCTGAGCCCCAGGCTTCCTGTGGGCTGGAGGGCAGAGGGTAGGGCTGAATATTTTTTTCAAAAAATGTGCCCAGCAGATAACACAAAACAGCTACCCACAGCCACTCCCCTTTAAACCCTCGACACTCGCTGAGCTAAGAGTATCCCTGGGCCATCTCAGGGCAGCCTCCCACGTGAGGGTCCCGCCCTCGCGAGCCCCATTTGATGGAGGAGGAAACAGGCTCCATGGGCCCAATGACTTGCTCGGGCGGCAGCGCCAGGACTCCAGCTCCGGCAGAATGGCAGAGACCAGGAGGCAGGGACCGGCTGTGACACAGCAGCTCCCGCAGGCCCACCCCCAGGGCAGACAGCTGCTTCCCCCCCAGGTCACAGGTGAAGAAACCAAGGCCCCAGGAGGTCAGTCACCCCCAACATTGCAGAGTAATGAGAAGGGGCAAAATTCGAACCCAGGGCTGTTGGACCCCAGGGCCCAGGCTCCCATGCACCTAGGACAACAGGAGGGAAGGGCTGGGAGTAAGGACCTGAGAACTCAGGTGCGGCGCCCTCGGCACCGGGCCTGTGTCCACGTGGCGCTGCAGACCAGGGCATGGGGGCACGCACCCCCAGGCCTTCCCCGCGGGCACCAGGCAGGCCAGTGCCCAGCTACTCTCTCCTCCGATCCCCTCAGGGCCCCCATCTCTGCTGCCCAGCCAGAGCCGGCCCTGCAGTGTGTGACCCTGGGAGGGCACCGGGACCCTGGCACCACAGCGCTGCCCGGTCAGGGGTGGCCCTTGCCCCACTGCCTCAGCAAATGCAGCTCCTAAGCCCCGGAGTCTACCCGGCCCCGGCCCCGGCCCACGCGGGCTTAGCTTAGGGTCAGCCAGGAAGGCTGGGGACAAAGGGAAGGGCCATGGGGGCCCTCCCACTGACTCCCCCTGGAGCAAGCCCTCACCCATCACTGCTACAGAGGCCCATGGGCAGGGGTCTCTGTGTGTACCTCCGTGTGTCTTTGTGCGCCCGTGTGCGCCTGTGTGTGTGTGTGTGTGTGTGTGTAAGAAACTGGGATGGGAGAGGGAGGGAGGCGAGGAGTTACAGACAGAGCAGAGAGCTGGGGTGACAGAGAGAGGCAGCCTGGGAAATACCCGGAGAGAAGGAGGAGGCTTGACATACAGCTGCAGAGAGGAGCTCAGAGCGGGAGACAACAGAAGGGACAGAGGGACCCAGCGAGGGGCCAGCCCACAGCAGATCAGGGAGGCAGAGCCCGAGGAGCTGCTGTGCAGAGAGCGGGAGGGAGGGGGGGAGTGAGGGAGGGAGGAGGGGCGGGGGAGGGAGCCCAGAGTCCAGCTGGGGGCCCTGAGACTGGGGGATGGGGCCGAGGCCGGGGTCTTTGATGGGCAAGGGAGGCGGACAAAGCCAGTGCCTTCTCCGCATAATGTCAGAGACATCCTGAGTCAGCAGGAGACAAAAGGGGGCTCCCGCAGCTCCCCCCTCACCCCTAATTGACCTGGGAGAGGATACCAGCCAAAAATGGTGTGATGGGTCCCCTAAGACCTCAAGCTCGCTGCCTTTGAGCCCCCAGACCTCTCTTCTCCCTGCACCAGCCTGGGCTGTGTGACCCTGGGCGGGGACTTTGCCTCTCTGGGCCTCCAGGCCCCGGAATGGAACTGAGCTTAGTGTGGGAGTCGGCGCTGGGGGCGGGGATGCAAGGCCTGGGCTGCGGGGCCAGACCCACGGGCCTGGGGCGGCGGGCGGGCAGGCGGGCGGGCGGCGGGTGGGCGTCTGTGCCCAGGTGCCTGGCCCCCCTGAGCCGGTGCCTCCCTTCTGGTGAGGGAGGTAAACTGTCTGCAGCCCAGAGCTGCTTGGACAGAAACGTGTAAATGGCCAGGGCTGGGGACAATGGGCTCCTGTTTTAAATGGTCAGTCACAAAGGTAAGGGAGTCTGTGCCAAATCGAAGTTCCGGGAAGGGCGGTGCATCGAGAAGAACAGAGCGTCTGCATGGGGAGGGTCTACAGCCAGGACCCTCGGGGCCCCAGGAGGAGCAGGGCTATCCCGGGCTCCTGCCTGGACCCGAGGGAGTCCTGGAAAGGCAATGAGCGTCCAATGCCCGCCCCCCCCCCCACCACCACCACACACACAGGCTAACCTTGGAGACAGGGGCTCCAGGGACCCCCAAGCCCAGGATTCTCACCAGCCCCCATCCTGTGTCCAGGGGAGGTCAGGCCAGGGGGCTGGGCCCTTCTAACCTGGGATTCTTCCATCCCTGAAGGCCAGGAGGAGGGGGGCGAGGAGAGAAGAGGGGGCGTGGAGAAGGGAGGCAGGAAGGGAGAGCAGGGAGGGAGGCCAGGAGAAACTGCCAGGCAGCCGGGAAGGGAGTAAGTGAGGAGGAGGAAGAGCCGCGTGCAGCGGGCAGGTGCTCCCAGGCTGTATCTTCCGGAGACAAAGGCCCCGAGGCAGCGAGGAGGGAGCTGGGAGGGGAGGCCGGGAGGCAGAGGGAGAGGAAGGCTCAGCAGCCTGCCCACTGCCGGCTCCCACCCAGCTGAGACTCTGACCCGGGAGAGGGAGCGAGCTCTAAACTTAAGAGGGAGAAAGTCTGCCAGCTGCCCTTGGGGCTGTCACAACAGATAAAACCTCATCCAGGCTTCACCAGGAGCGCCGCACACGGATGCTCAGCGGCAGCTAAAAATACCGGCTCCAGCGGGGAGGGAGGAGGAGGGAGAGGGAGGAGGAGGAGGGAGGAGGAGGAAGGAGGAGGCAGGAGGAGGGAGGAGGAGAGACAGGGGGGAGGAGGACGGGGAGCAGGGCTGTAGGGCTGGGCACAGGCAGCCCCGGTTTCCAGGGAAGCTTCCAGGGCGTCCTAATGGCCCAGATGTGCAGCTGCGGAGAGTGGCTGCTTGGGGACCTGCCAATCACTGGCCCCTGGCGGCTCCTCCCCTGGACGGTGAGCTGGGGAGGGAGGACTTGGAGAGAGGGAGGAGAGAGGGAGGGAAACCTGAGAAAGAGGGAGATCTGGGAGAGCAGAGCTCTGAAGGGCAGGGGTGGGAGGGGGAGGGAGGGAGGGCAGGGGTGGGGAGGGGGAGGGAGGACAGGGTGGGGAGGGTGAAGGAGGGGGGCAGGGGAGGGGAAGGGGAGGGGGGCAGGGGTGGGAGGGGGAGGGAGGGTAAGGGAGGGAGGGAGAGGGAGGAGAGGAAAGAGGACAGAGAGGGAGGAGGGGATGCAGGGAGAGGAAGGGTAGCAGGGAGGTGGTGGAGGAATGGCCCTGGGGCTCAGCACAGGGACCTCCAAGGGACCAAACCCAGGAGCCAGATCTCTGCCCCGGGCCCTGGCCCTGGACATTAGGGAGTGTGGCTGGGGGCCTGGGGTGAGCAGGTAGCACCCCCTTTGGTCAGGCCATTGGCTGGGTGGGCCAGGCTGGGGTGTGGCTCCTAGAGGAAGACCTGCTGGTGATGGAATCCCAGCCCATCAAAGCCTCCGCAGCGGTTCTCAACCTGTGGGTCGCGACTCCTGAAAATACATCCTGCATATCCGATATTTACATGACGATTCGTAACAGTAGCAACATGACAGTGATGAGGTAGCAACAAAAATAATGTTATGGCGGGGGGTCACCACAGCATGGGGAGCTGTATGAAAGGGCCGCGGCGTCAGGAAGGTGGAGACCGCTGCTCCAGAGTGTCATGCTCAGGCCTGAGCGGGCGGGACCGTGTTCCTCAGGCAGCTATTGGCACCTGCTCTGGGCCCGCCCGGGCTGGGTGCTGGCGCCGGGGAAAATGAGGCAGTGCCTGCCCCGCGTGGACAAAGCCATCCTCAGCCCCATAAACACGGGGGGAGGGGGGGGGGGGAGAGAGAGAGAGAGAGAGAGAGAGAGAGAGAGAGAGAGAGAACGGGGGTGGGGGGGAGTATGGGGAGGCTCATGAAGGCCTGCCCCGTCCCCGGTGATGATCTGGACCCTAAAACCTGAGTGGTAGGAGCCACCAAAACCCAGAGGCATGTCCCCAAGAGGGAAACTGAGGCTGTGAGACAATGAACCCACTTGTCCAAGGAGCAGAACAGGGTTCAAACGCAGGCCCAACTGACCCACCAGGCCGGTGCCGGGCAGGCTCGCCCGTGGCTCCTGGGCCCCTGTGAGCCGGGGCTGGTGGGCCGTGGCGGGGCAGGGAGGCTGAGGGCCCCGGGCCCAGGAGCTGTGGGAGCAAGAGCTGCGGCTCCCTGGTCCCTTAGCTGCCTGGGGCCTCAAGTCCCAGCACGCCGCAGCCCGCAGGGCTGTCCCTGTGCAGGGGCAGTGGGTCAGGGTGTGCGACCGCTGCCGCCAGGCCTGGCAGGACCGGTGAAGAAGGCCTCTTTCCTCCCACCCGTGTCTTTTCTTCCTGAGGGAGGAGGCGCCCATGGCCCTGTGGGGAGGCCCGGGAGGAGGGCTGGGCGCTGGGCAG